TTTTTTTTTTTGTTTTTTTGAGATGGAGTCTCTCTCTGTCACCCAGGCTAGAGTGCAGTGGTGCGATCTCGGCTCACTGCAATCTCTGGCCTTCCTGGGTCAAGAGATCTCCTGGCCTCGGCCTGTCCCAAATGCTGGGATTACAGGTGCGCGCCACCACGACCGGCTAATTTGGTAGTTTTGTAGAGATGGGGTTTCACCATTGCTGGCCAGGCTGGTCTTGAGCTCCTGACCTCAGGATCCGCCTGCCTCGCCTCCAATGTGCTGGGATTACAGGCGTAAACCAGCCCACCGCCAATCGCGAGCCTTTGGGAGGTTGAGGTGGGCAGATCACAACGTCAGGAGTTCGAGACCAGCCTGGCAACATGGCGAAACCCGGTCTCACGCAAAAGGGAGGCTGAGGCAGGAGACTGGCGTGAACCCGGGAGGCGGAGCTTGCAGTGAGTTGAGATCGCGCCACTGCACTGCAGCCTGGGCGACAGAGTGAGACTCCGTCTCAAAAAACAAACAAACAAACAAACAAAAAGCTGGGCTTGGTGGCGGGCGCCTGTAATTCCAGCTACTATGGAGGCTGAGGCAGGAGAATCTCTTGAATCTGGGAGGCGGAGGTTGCAGTGAGCCAAGATGGCGCCACTGTACTCTGGCAATAATGCAAGACTCCGTCTCAAAAAAAAAAAAAACAAAACCCCACAATGTTTGAATTCTGTGTGCCCTGCCTCCCCTTAGGTGGAAGTGTAGGCTGAAGCATGGGTGAGGCAAAGGGTAACAACTAGAAAATACATATCCTTCCTCAAAAAATTACATTCCATTTGACTCTTTCAGGGCAAGGTAAGAGCCATTTTTCCATTGTGTGATTTCTGTCAACTACTCTTTTCAAAAGGAGGAAGTCCTACCACCCTTCTATGTGTTTATGTATTTTGGCTAAGAGTGCTGGAGCGCTGGGTGAGGTCCTCAGAAGGGATGGAAAAATCTGAATCTTAACTCACAGTCAGCGCTAGACAGGAGCATCAGAGATTACTGAATCCAGCTTCCTTATTGTATAAAAAGGAAACTGAAGCCCAGAGAGCTTTAGTCGATTTGGATCAACTTCGGTCCCTTGAGAAATACTTTTCTCAAAGGATGGCTAGATATCAAGCTCCTTGCAGTCTTTGGGCCTTTGGGTCTAATGTTCCTTATGCCCCAATGCTGTGGGCTCCTCGCTGTGCCTCGGGTCAAAGGTCCCTTCAGAGACTGTCCCTCTCAGCACTGCGGCCAGTTTTACTTTTTTGTGGCACTTATTGATATTTAAAAATATTTATTCTACGAGTTATGTGACTTCTTCCACTGGAATGAAATCCCCATAAGAGGAGACCATTCCTGTCTCGTTCACCGTTGAATCCTCAGGGTGAGCTGAGATTCGAAACAAAGTAGTATGGCTCTAAAGTCGCGCTTTAGGCCCAACATTATGCTTCCAAAAATTTAGTAAAGACGATGGACTTCTGCGCACACGGGGAAGCGACAGTGAGAAAAGATACCCGGAAGTGAGCCACAGCAAAACATCCAGACTCGTCCGCACGGTGCCCCTTCTGACCTTTCCCTCCGGAAGCTTTCGCGGCTCTTGGGCGGGAGTGCGCACGCGCGGCCACCGGGGTCGCTCCGGGTCGCGCGCGGAGCAGGGGCTGGAGGGAAGGGTCAGCCTCCAGGGCTGGCAGGCGCCTGCGCTGCGGGGCTCCAGTCAGGACGCGCATTCTCGCTCCCTCCCTCGGCTGCGCGCGCCCGGTGGGCGTGGGAGGAGGCGGGGAACCGGGGAGGGGCGGGTGTCGCAGGAGGGAAGGAGCGAACCGGAGAGCGTCGTCCTGAGAGGAGTGAAGGCGGCAAAATGGCGGACCGCTTCTCCCGCTTCAACGAGGACCGAGACTTTCAGGTAAACACGGGCGTCGCCGAGGATGCGGGGAAGGCACTGGTCTAGCCCAGAATGTCCTTCATCTCCGGCTCCCAGCCCTCTTTCCTTCCAGGTTTTGCTCCGACTTGCGAATTGGCTCTCTCTTCTCCCGTCTCTGCTTTCTCAAGAGGCCTCCCGGCTTGAGGGAGGCCGCATCTCCTCTCACCCGCATTCTCTACCCCAGAAACTCAGGCCGCCGGGCTTGCGACTTCCGCCTGTTTGGCGTCGGATTTGGGAACCGGGCCTGGGAGCTCTGTGGGGGGCTGTGCCCTCCGGGTCTGCCCAGCCTGTGCCGGCAAAGGACTGGCTCCCAGGGGACCAGAGGGGTGGTTGGGTTGGGCTGGGAGGACTTGGGGGCGAGTGTTGCTGAGGCCAAGGCTTCCGAACCCCGGGATTTTGCTCTCACGGATCCTTTTGGGGTCCTTCTCTTTTCTTTTTTCACTGTGATGAATCAGTTGCTTTCATTGTCTGCTTTTCCTTTTCCTTACCTGGGAAAAGGTTGCATTCGTTATCAGACGCCTTATTGGTTAGTCATACATTAAGATTTCCCGGGACATAAGTGTTGCTGCTGTTATTAGGCTGTTAATTGGGCTTGGAAAACAGTAAGTTACTGGACTATGATCCGATGTGAGCCTAACCTCAAATCCTATCTCGAAAGATTTGTAAGAAGCGTAATGATAATGGACCTTCCACGCGTAGGGTCACTAGTGCCAAAAGCTTGATTTTTCTTTTCTCAGTTGCAAATGTTGGTATGGAAAAATGCCCTTACGATGGCAAGCTCTACTGAGTAAAAAATAAAGGCCAAATTAGAATAACTCGTTTTTTCGTTGTTGAAAATACCTTGCTGTTGAAATTGTTACCGCGGAAATCTCGACGACTAAAAGGGATTTAGTAGAGATTGGCTATTTCTAGGTAAAATACATCCGTAGAGTCTCAAAAAAAACCTCTGCATTACTACTGCATATCCTGGCAACTGCAATTTGGGTCAGGGGATGAATCTCAGAACTCAAGTTTTTATCCGGCTGCAGATCCTACTCAAAGCAATAGGAAAGCACTCTAGGTGTGTTTCAGAATGCAGTTTAAAGAGTTTGAATTCCCTGAGATGATAGGACTGGTAAATAAATAGATAAAGCAGTTTAACAATTTTAACTCAGCACTGTTAACAAGGTAGTACATAGAACGCTTACGAGAAGTTTTGCAGCAGTAAGGGATCTGGGGGCTGTTAAAGCCTTGTGATCATGCGCTTGCTGTATAGCTGCAGCACAATACAGAAGAATCTCAAGGTGTTCTAAGGATATAATGCAGATTCACCAAAGTTTGAAGCAGTTCATATTAGCCTTTTGATCCCTGAGAAATATATGTATATTTTAGCAAGCACTATAAAATATGAGTAGGCTGCAAGGTGTATGATGAGCTTTATTGATTTTTAAATTACCAATAGAGACCTATTGATAACTAAAGCCCGCAAATGCTTTTCAGAGGAGAGAATCTCAAGGTGACCTAATAAAATCGAAAATACATAATATGGACAATTAAATTTTGAGGAAAGATGACTGTCAACCACAGAATTCCAGCAGGCTTAACAAACAGGATTTTCGGGGCCTTTAATGAAGATTTTGAAAATTGTGGATAGCAGAGTGTGAATGCTGTTTCCTGAAAAAAATTGAGGGGGTTAGCCTCTACTTTTTCAATACTCAGTTTCTAAGTAAGATGACCCTCTCTTTTGATGCTTTAGTTGGGTATTGCAAAACCTGATTTTGGTTTCATGGTAGTCCTTTGAAGATGATATGTATAGTTCATTTTCTGCTTCTATGTTGAAAGAACCAACCCGTTAAGTTGGGTCAGCCAGGAAGATGTTGGGGTTTTTTTTGTTTGTTTGTTTTTGAGACGGAATCTCACTCTGTCGCCCAGGCTGGAGTGCAGTGGCACCATCTCGGCTTACTGCAACCTCCCCCTCCCGGGTTCAAGCGATTCTTCTGCCTCAGACTGCCGAGCAGCTGAGACTACGGGCGCCTGTCACCACACCCGGCTTATTTTTGTATTTTTAGTAGAGATGGGGTTTCACCGTCTTGGCCAGGCTGGTCTCGAACTCCTGACCTCATGATCCGCCTGCCTCGGCCTCCCAAAGTGCTAGGACTGCAGGTGTGAGCCACCGCACCCGGCCGAAAATGTTGGTTTTTAAAATTCAGATGTCCTAGCATTTTGGGTAAATAAGGTATAAGGTATTGGGAATGGAAACCTTTTTAGACAGTTGGAAGATGTTAAAACTTTTATAAATTATGTTAATTTATAGCATTCATTTAAAGTACTTTTATTTAAAAATGAAGTGGTATTTTTCTGTGTGTTTTAATAAAGGGAAAAATACAGATTGTCTTTCACTTAATGATGTCTTTTGATTCAAAGTTATTGGTGAGAGAATGTAATGTAATAGGATTCTCCTGTGAATAATGTATCTGAAACATTTTCGGCTTCAGGTTATTCAAAATTAAACGTGGCCTCCTTAAAAGGTTTTGGGTGAAGCCACTGACTATACTTGAAAACAAATCATAGTAAGTTTCCAAACACAATGGATAGATCTTGTTGCTTTCAACAGATCTTGTAGCACTGGAAATTTTTCTGTTCATCTTCTCTGGTAAGTTCGAGATGACTGTTATTTTCTTTGCCTTTAATTTGGCAGGATGATTTAAAGCTGTAGAGCTTCACTCTCTACCAGTTTATCAAGTGCAAATTTTGGAGAGTTTGATGTCTCTTGAAATTATTATGGAGTCAGGGAGTTGGGCTGAGTATTACAATTTGTGAATACCTACGTTTCTTTTTTTTTTTTTTTTTTGAGACCGAGTCTCGCTCTGTCACCCAAGCTGGAGTGCAGTGGCGCGATCTTGGCTCACTGCAACCTCCGCCTCCCGGGTTCAAGCGATTCCCCTGTCTTGCCCTCCCGAATAGTTGGGACTACAGGCGCTCGCCACCACACCCAGCTGTTTTTTTTTTATTTTTAGTAGAGACAGGGTTTCACCATGTTAGCCAGGATGGTCCTGATCTACTGACCTTGTGATCCGCCCGCTTCGGCCTCCCAAAGTGCTGGTATTACAGGCGTGAGCCTCCACACCCGGCATGAATACCTAAGTTTCAAAGGTATTTTGTATATATAGTGAAAAGTTACAGTTAACGGTGGTATTCCACTTGAAGCACTCATGAATATAGAGATTAATCATTATCAGGGACCTAACTTTTTTAAATTTGTAACTTTATTATAATAACGAACAGGTCCTATTCCACAGGCTTTATGTGTCTTATCTCATAGTCTTCACTATAACCCTTACGAGGTAGGTACTGTTTTTACTGCCGTTTTCAGCTGAGGCACAGAGAATTAGGTAACTTAGCCAATTGCATACATCTGTTAAATGGCAGAGCCTAAATTCATACTGACTTTTGGACTCTTGAACTTGTCCTCGTGACCATTTTGTCTGCTGCTGGCAATTATACATTTTATATAGCTGTAATTGAGTCATCAAATGTGGAGGATAAACTTATAGGTGACGAAGGATAAGGGAGCTTTTAGAAAGGTGATACGATTGCAATTTTTATTCTGTTTGGTTTTGTCCAGATCTGTTTCTTTCTGGTCTCCCAATGGCTTCTAGGGGGGCTTTCAACAATGATAAATTATGTTGTGTCATAGAGGATGTATTGTTAACTGTTTTAGTTTAGACATTCTTTTGTCTAGCCTTTAAAGTGTTGTTTTTTTAAATCTTTGGTCATCTTTGTAATCTAAGCTGATGTGTTTATTTTTACAAATGTTTTAAGAGTTTTAACTACTCCTTTAAGAATCTGACCTCAATTTCTGAATGAGATGTTACTTCTGCCGGCATTTACCAGATTAAGATATATTTGTTCACAGATTGAAGTGTTACACAAACTAATGGAAAATATATAACTTAAGATAATCAACACTTTGGATTACAGGTTCATTAAAGAAAGTTTTGTTTGTACAGTGATGTATAACTAGCCATACGGTGCCATTAAGATACAGTGCTTAGCATTTTATGGTTGCGCAGCTATTATTGGTGATGCAGCTGAATGCTGGTGAGGAAATGATCTTTAGCGTATGTACCTGCAGAGGACTGATGATTTGTGTTCTGAGTGTTCTCTGCATTTTATTTCTTTTCTTTTTTTTGTTTTGAGACGGAGTTTCGCTCTTGTTGCCCCTGCTGGAGTGCAATGGCACCATCTCGGTTCACCTCAACCTCCGCCTCCCAGGTTCAAGCGATTCTCCTGCCTCAGCCTCCTGAGTAGCTGGGATTACAGGCATGTCCCACCACGTCCAGCTGTTTTTTTTTGTATTTTTTAGTAGAGACAGGGTTTCACCATGTTGGTCAGGCTGGTCTCAAACTCCCAACCTCAGGTGATCCACCCACCTCAGCCTCCCAAAGTGCTGGGATTACAGGTGTGAGCCACTGCGCCCGGCCCTCTGCATTTTATTTCTAATGAAAAGTAACTACAGGAATAGATCAGTGAGTGATAAGTTGATAAGAGAAACAAGACATACTATCTTAAAGGTCATAATAAAAATACAGAAATTGCCCAAGAACTTTCTGTAATCTATGTAAGTAATCATAATGGTAAATAGCAATAAGCTAGTCATGTATTACATTTATGCAGTATGTTTGTAGGATTCCTCTTTGTGTTTCCATATGTAACCAGTATGTGACCCTCAGGAAATTCTTAGTTGAGACTGTTAAGTGAAGAGGTTCATAGTTTTAAGATATTTAGGTCACAGAAGGATATTAGTATATTTTCTGTATGTAATATAGTTGGCATTGTAATGCAGATGTGCCAGATATGACACATGGACAAGTGTTTTAAGTGGTGTTTCCTATGTCTCCCTGTAATCTGGAAGAAATGCCACAAGCTATTTAAAGTAATGTCAGTTTGGCTTGGGATACTGAAACTTATGTAAAATCATTACTCTTTCCTGTCTCATAGTA